TACATGTAATTGCAAATAGTTTTCAAATTTTGGAGAAATCAGGTAAAGAAAAATATGCTTCAGATTTTCTCACAAAACCATAGTTGACCCAGTTGTTAAAAAGCAGTAAAATAGCTCAAAGAGAAACAAAAGGTAGAAAAATAAACAAAGTTAGAAATTCAGAAACAAAAGTTTCTGAGTTTCAAACAATGTTTCAAAGTCACAAAAAGATTCTTTCAGTTTTCCATTGTCTAGTCTATGTAATTAACTCCTGTTCTCAATGTTTATGAACACATTAGCTCTCTATGGGAGTCTTGGAAGTTTTTCCTCTATTATAGTATCACAATCTCCACAGTATCCAAAACCTGCATTCAAGAGCACCTGTCAGATTCCTATACCTGATTGTAAAACCAACTTTTGAAAATGATAAAAGTAAAACAACCATGAATGACAAGAGTTCTAAAATTGTCATAATTAAAGACACAATTGACAAGGAAATTTGGTTACTTCTGTGGCATACAACAATTTTACATAATCATAATTACTACTGACAACACATACCAGGGATTCCCAGTCCCCGGGCTTGCAGACTGGTACTGGTCCATGGCCTCTTAGGAACCAGGCTGCACAGGAGGAGGTGAGTGGTGGGCAAGCGAGCAGTACTGCCTGAGCTCTGCCTCCTGTCAGATTAGTGGCGGCATTAGATTCTTATAGGAGCACGAACTCTATTATAAACTGCACGTGTGAGGGATCTAGGCTGTGTGTTCCTTATGAGAATCTAATGCCTGATGATCTGAGGTAGAACAGTTTAATCCTGAAACCATACCTTCCTTCCCCTATCTGTGGAAAAATTGTCTTCCACAAAACCGGTCCCAAGTGCTAATAAGGTTGGGGACTGCTGACATGTACCAAAACATATCAGTATCACAGGAATTTCATAGAATTTTGAAACGCGTACTAGTAACACATTTATATAAATGTAATCCAAAAAAGGTTAAATGCTGTTTCATACTTGACACTACTTCTTATATGATTTTATTATATCAAATAACCTGAATATGTCTCTTTTGGACTTCAGGGAACCTAATATCAAAAGATTAATGAGGACCAAAGTTAGAATGTTATTTTGGAAAGTTCGTCGACTATAAAGTGTTAAAAATACTTGATATCACAAAATAGAATCAAAGGTCATTGTAAAATAAGTTATTTATTTAGCCAAATGATAACTCAAAGATTTCCCCAAAAAAGACAAAACCCTTTATTTTTTCAGAGAGGAGACTTAATTTCCCAAACAAGAAGCCTTAATAAAGATGGTGTAAATCCCATTAAATCCTCTTTTAAAATTTTATAAACAAATTTATTAAGATTTGGTCATCTTGAGCATAAGATACAATTTCAATAAACTTTTTTTTATAACCCTTATATTTTTTAAATTAAGAAGTGGGTTAATACTCCAAGAGAACCTTGCTACTGTGACTTTGGGGCCCAGATGCTGGTCTTGCATCAGTGTGCCTTCAATGTTAATGATTAATTTATAGAGAAACTGAGCTAATTTATCTCTGAAAATTGGCCATTAGAATCTCATGCACCCACCTCTTCCATGATAGTCCCTGGGCCTTGAGCAATTGAATAGTTTTAATTTCTGACCCTGTGTCTTATGAACAGTTTATTTTTATTGGCATCTTCTACTGGGTCTGAAGATAAGGCTTTAACTACTGTCATTGTTTAAGATTTAGCAGGACTTGGTGTTCTTTTTAATACTCAGGAGTCAAAGCCCTATGACTTAAAGGCACAAGGACTTTAAAAGCAACAAAGTTACGTGGATGTAATAACCTTGATTTAAAAAAACAGTTTAACCTCAGTTTTTTTCTAAGCAAATCAAAACTTAATAACAATGGCATAGGAGTTATTTTGATAAAATGTAAAATTTGTTTGTTAGGCCAGTTGCCAAAAGGCAAAAAAAAAATCCTCTTGCAGTACAATTGCTGTTCCCTGTGGAGAGTCCATTTAAGTAACCTGCAAATCAAACTAATGGAAAGGATACTTGAATTATTTAGACATAGGGAGAGTCTTTCCTGGGTAATTAGTGAAAATTTTGGGATTTATAGAATTCAAAGCCAAGAGCACAGAGTGTTATGTTGGAAGAAAACATTTTCTTTAGACCTTTAAGATAAAACATTTTTAGCATCAGGCCATGGCAAACAGTTAGAACCTGAGGAGAAAAATTACGGAAGCTGAAAATGAGTTGAAGGAGATGGTTATTATCTAAGGCTTTTCAAAGTGGAGACAAAGCTGAAAACAGCAAGATAATAAAAGTTAAAAATTCGGTTAAAAAAATTAAAATCCCTTGTAAAACAGTACCTTAAGAAAATTTTGTTGTTCTAACCAATTCTTTAGTGTATAGGTGTTTTTTTTTTTAATCAAAACCTAGTCTCTAAAAAGACTATAATAAATAATTTTCCTTTAATTATAGACAACTTGATACAAATCATTAATGAGATGCTTGGACTTCCTGTGTTATCTTAGACATCTCTCTTTCTTAAATAACCAGTTATTTTAGGACAGAAATTTACCATACAAGATTCTTTCTCATATAAAATTATTTTCCCTTTAACCTTTCTTGCCAAAAATACCTTTATATTTATAGAGGTGAATATATAGTATGTAAAGAAAGCAATATTTCTTTACATTGTTCTTATTTACTGGTTACTTTCACCTTGTTTCACAAATAACTTTGAAATAACCTTTGAATTAGACAAAAATTATTTTCTTTTAAATAACAAAACATTTATTAGAAAAATATTTTCCTATATTTTTTTAAAAATCGGAAATGATCCAGAACTTTAATGAGTATTTATTATTTAACTTATTATAACTTTAGATTTTAAATTATATGATAAGTTTATTTATAGGCATTTATTTCATTACATTTCCCTAATTAATTAATTTTTAAATGGTTTACCCAGATGAAAGCTGTGAAAGTCATTTTTTAGTTATTTCTGTTAACTATGTTTATAGCCTATAAATACAGGTTTTTTAAGAACTTGAAATGCAAAGACTTCTGATATAGAATGATATATTATTATTGTTAATGGCTGATGAGATTCTGTTGTATGACTGCATGTACTATAACTTAACTGCTTTGTTTTTAAATATTTCGTTGTTTCTGATTTTTAGCTATTAAAAATATTGATAGTATACAAATGTGTTAATGAGCATTCCTATTTATATGTGTACACAATTAAGTTTAAAAACTTTTTAAATGAAGCAAATTAAAGGTAGATCTATTTTTTCTTAAATTATTCTAAAGAAATATTTTTTCTTAATTATTCTAAAGAAATCCCTTCTAGCCTATGAATTATTATTCTAAAGAAATACACTAAAATTAACTCCAGATGGATTAAAGACTTAAACATAAGACCTAACACCATAAAAACCCTAGAAGAAAATCTAGTCAAAACCATTCAAGACATAGGCGTAGGCAAGGACTTCATGACCAAAACACTGAAAGCATTGGCAATAAAAGCCAAAATAGACAAATGGGACCTAATCAAACTCCACAGCTTCTGCACGGCAAAAGAAACAGTCATTAGAGTGAATCAGCAACCAACAGAATGGGAAAAAATTTTTGCAGTTTACCCATCAGACAAAGGGCTGATATCCAGAATTTACAAAAAACTAAAGCAGATTTACAAGAAAAAAAACAAGCCCATTCAAAAGTGGGCGAAGGATATGAACAGATACTTTACAAAAGAAAACATACATGAGGCCAACAAACATGAAAAAATGCTCATCATCATTGGTCATCAGAGAAATGCAAATCAAAACTACATTGAGATACCATCTCACACCAGTTAGAATGGCGATCATTAAAAAATCTGGAGACAACAGATGCTGGAGAGGATGTGGAGAAATAGGAACACTTTTACACTGTTAGTGGGAATGTAAATTAGTTCAACCATTGTGGAAGACAGTGTGGCGATTCCTCAAGGACCTAGAAATAGAAATTCCATTTGACCCAGCAATCCCATTACTGGGTATATATCCAAAGGATTATAAATCGTTCTACTATAAGGACACATGCACACGAATGTTCATTGTGGCACTGTTTACAATAGCAAAGACCTGGAATCAACCCAAAATGCCCATTGATGATAGACTGGACAGGGAAAATGTGGCACATACACACCATGGAATATTATGCAGCCACCAAAAACGATGAGTTCATGTCCTTTGTAGGGACATGGATGAACCTGGAAACCATCATTCTGAGCAAACTGACACAAGAGCAGAAAATCAAACACCGTATATTCTCACTCATAGGTGGGTGTTGAACAATGAGAACATATGGACACACCCTATTAAATCCATAAATATAGAAGAACAATGAATGCTAGTCATAAAATGCTAATAAGTAACATGTAACTTTGACTATAAGTAGGTCAAATGCCTTTCAAGATATGTATGTAATATTGAATTGATATAGGAGGACCATACATGTCCACTATCAGGATATGTGTACGAAATCATTGTTTATTTGTATCTATGTGTGTATGCATGTATGTGTCTTATTTGCTTCATTGTAACTTTTGCCCATAGTCCATCTTACTTGTTATGGTCATTATTTCTACTACATCCTTAATATTAATTGATACTTCAGGTGGAGGATAAGTATTTACTTCTCTGATATAGTTACTGGAATAAATGGTACAAGCAAGGGTAGGGAGTGTGTGAAGAGATTTGGAATTGGAGGCCTGTGTTTGAATGCTCACCCTGCCACTTCCTAGCTCTGTGATTTTGGACAAGACAGTGATCTGATTCCTCATCTGTAAAATGGGGGCTGTTAATCCCAACTTAATTGAAGGATTGTTGTGAGGATAGAATGAACTATCTTAAATGGCTGTACTTTATAAAAACTGTTAAGCCCAGTATAGAGTTTTTATGCTACTATTCTCCAAGCCAAGTAGAAAAAATATTGTAATAGCATAATAGCAATCCCCTTTCTGTCTTTTTCCTTCCAGTTTTCATGCAGTGATAAGGAAAGGAGCAGCAACTACATTAATATGCCTGAGAGAGGAAATGGACCAGAAGGCAACTTAAACCAGATTGTTACTGAACCCAATACAAACATTCCCCAGTTCTTGCACGAGGGGTATGTACTATGCCAAGGTCTTTATTCCCACATCAACCAGATCTTGAAGGAGGCTCACTTCAACAGCCTGCAGCAGCGAGGACAAGCTCCAGCATGATGAACTAGGACTTCCTTATTCCCACCTAACCTGTGTTTATAAAAGCAATTGCATACACACCAAAAAACGTCTATTGGTTTTTAAGTCTATATTTTAAATAACAAGTTAATGAGCAATTACTTAATTGGAGTTTCACTGAACTATTGCAATTTTAAATGGGCCATGAAGAAATTTTATGGGGTTGTTTTCAAGTTGGGTATCAAATTCATGTTGAGGTAGCAATATGAGAAAACTTACCCTGTGCATTGAAGCCATAGTATGTCCAATCCAGATTGATTTCCAGATCTGTCAGTTAGAACCTCTATGTTAAACACCTTTTTAAAATACAAGTAAGTCATCATTTTAAAAAATGCAATGACAATAGCCTAGTAAAGTGTATGTAGCTTTCATTTAAAAAACAAAAAATCCACACTCAAAAACCGTAAGTTAGTATTCCCAAATATGCAAAGCCAGATTCAGTCTTGCACTGAAATGAACTGCCATACTGCCCCTCAGAAAGTAGCTGTTCTATTGAAATTGCTCTCTAGTTGTAATGGCAACAATTAGACCCAGTTTAGACTGTGAACATGAAAACCTCCCTCTAATAACTGTCTCTACTCTTTGTATTTCCAGGGAGAATGTTTCTAAGGCTCTTGAATACTCAGATACCTTCTGTATCATTTCTCCTCTAGAGTGTGCACTTCAGACCTAGTAGGAAGCACTGTACAATTCTGTCAGACAAGAAATATGTAATAACATTTTGTCTTACACAAAAATTTATTACATTAGCACATGTGATCTCATAATTCCATCTATTACGTCTAGAGTTAATGCTAATACAGTGTAAGGTACTAAACTGATGTGTCAAGTAACAAGAATTGTGGAAGTGGGTTGGACAACTATATACTTTATGCTTCAAGGACCCTTTCACAGAGAGTAGGGAGCTAGCTTACATTATTAAAATTGCAAAGATTTCTATGGCTTATAAACAATGAGCTGATATGTCATTAGAAGAAACACGCAGTACTATTTATTTAGAGATGAGTGTGTCCCCATGTTTTAGTCATACTAAAGAGCCAACCAAATTTGAATAGGGAATTCATAGATGTGCTTCCTCAGTGGTGAGCTGTGTGAACAAGGAACCAGGATACATCAGGTTATCTGCCCTGGAGTATGCAAACCTGTTGCTAGATTTAAACAAAAATGCTTTAGAGTCTTAACAGTCCTCTCTTCCCTGGTCACATTCTCTTTTCCACTGTATTTGGAGGTCCACACAGTAGAACCTAGCAGATCTGAGCACTATAGATAGCTCTGCAAAGAGGTGTTTGCCAATTGGCAAGGTTTGGAAAAGACGTAAGGTTACAGGTTTACTGAAAGGAGAATGAGATTTTATTAAATGACAAAATTAACATATGGAAATGAACACTGTCCTAGGAAAAGAATACACACACACATGCACACACATTTTCATGTTTGTTTTCTTGAATATGGATAGGATTTTAAGGAAGATACTTGTAGTGGAATTTTAGTGTTATGGGAAAAAATTATAGCACCACACTGGCCCTGAACTTAGGGAGTAGGCATGAGTCAGTTATTTCTCAATGAGATGGTTTGAGTAAGAACATTTTCTCTATGGCCATTGCTTCCAAAGTCAATATCAGATGTGTGCTGAGAAGAAATTTGAATTCTAAAAGGCTTTGTAGCAGAATAGAGAAAGGATACATGGCTACCAGTTTCTCTAACAATAAAGTGAGCAACTAAATACTAAAGGAAATGAGATGTTTGAACTTTCAACCCACACGTACACAACAGGATTCAGAAATATCCAAGAAGAATTTTGCAGGCTTAAATACACAACATCCTACTGAAAGAAAGTATTAAAAACACAGTATAGTTGAAAAGCTGAGAAAGCAAATTTCCATTCATTCTCCCACCTATTTAAATATATGAAAGATAAAACTATCACCATGACAAAGCATTATTTTTTCAAAGTAAAAAAATATATATAATAAAGCAATTACATATACACAGAAAAAGTCTGTTGGCTTTTCAGTCTATATAAGACTTTTCAGTACTTAGTTGAACTAAGTACATACAATCTTATTCCAAAGTGGTCAGTGTAAATCTCTTGTCCTAGTAAATACAATATGCAATCTCTGTCCTGTCTTTTACAGATGGTCTAAACCTGTTTATGTCATAAACCAGTTTATGTCCTTTGGTCCTGAAATGAAGCTCAATATTTCACAGCAGGGAAGGAACCAAGCTGTTTAATTATCTTTGCTATGAAGGAGAAGTATTTTCAAGGAATATCAGAAGAAAGTAGAAAGGACTACTCTGGCTTTTTTTTTTTTTTTCCAAAATTAGGAATTTGAAAAAAGGGACCCAGATTAGTTTAAGAGGTGAAATTGGACCCTGATATATTTTTTTAAATGAGAGTATAAAGCAAGGGCAGAATGCCGAACCAATACTGAGGTGGGGTGGTGGTTGGGGAAAGGAACTACCCTTAAATTCAAACCCACCCTTGTGCCACACTCTGTGTGAGTTATTCATAACTCCTGAGGTAGTTGGTGTGGGCTCTCCACTTCATAGGTGAGGAGAGGGAGGCTGACAGTAAGTTATCCCTATGACTACATGCGATCCTGAGAAAACAGAGTGGTTAATGATTTGCTAAAAGGAACACAGTGGCCAAGCAGCAGTGCCAGGGCATCTCTGCTTTTATAGTGAAGACCAGGGCTGCCAGGCCACCTTTTCTTCTAGGGAACAATTCCCTGTTTATATAACCAAAGAAACAGTAGAATGAAACATAGTTTAAGCTCTTCATCAGAGTCTACATGTTGAATGATTTTCTAAATGCATTCCTTTTTATATAGCAGCATTTTCCCCATTTTCAAATGAATACTCTGTAATATTGTCACTTAAGTCCCTACAGAGTGAGTCAGATCTTAAAAGCTGACACGGATACCAGACTCTGTCTCCTCCTAGATTTCTTGTTCCTTCTGGCTGGAGGCTGTAGTCAAAGTATAACCTACATCATCTGAATGGAACAACTAATTGAATATATGAACTGAGGCTGGGAAAAACAGGCAAATATTCTGACCAGGAAGCCATTCAGATCTATTTTATATTTTGTTTAAACTAATACAGTTATCTTGAGACCAACAGTACAAAGATGGTGTACCTACCTAAATCACATGTGGGATTCTACACTGGTGCACATTTGACTGGTTGGTAATTTCCATGCATCTTCTGGCCACAATGTTGTTATAATAATTAACAATTTTCTGGGTACCAGCAAAACTACAAATTCAGTTGCCAATTATTAAGATATTGATGGACACTATAGGGAAAATGATATTTATCTTGAAGCACAGAAAATACATAGCCTTCTCCAGAAAGTCATTCATTCATTCTCATCTGATGAAAAGGAAAAAAATCCAACTTTTTGGTCTATAAAATCTAATTGAAATGAATAGAAAAGATTTTATATCTGTGCTGTTTCTTAGGGACCAAGTGAAAGTAATTGTATGGAATTAAGGTTGCTCTTCCCTTACTACTAAAAGACTTTTTTGAAGTAGGCAAGAGTGTAACATAATAAAATAAATTGATGATTAACTCATCAACATGGAAAGTATAAATTTACACATCACTCACTTTGACAATCCCGAGACTCCAGATTTGGTATTCCATTAGACTAAGGCAGGCATCCCCAAACTACGGCCCGTGGGCCGCATGCAGCCCCCTGAGGCCATTTATCTGGCCCCCCGCCACACTTCAGGAAGGGGCACCTCTTTCATTGGTGGTCAGTGAGAGGAGCACAGTATGTGGCGGCCCTCCAATGGTCTGAGGGACAGTGAACTGGCCCCCTGTGTAAAAAGTTTGGGGACACCTGGACTAAGGAGTAGGTCTTTAACTTCCTGTCACTTGGATTAAGTAGGATCAATTTCTTCCATGTTTCATTGGCCCTGGTTCTTTTTTTCATATTTCCTGTGGTTTCTCTGAGCTCCTTGAGATGCCCCAAATGCATTTCTTTAGATGGTGTATTAGTCTGTTCTCACCCTGCTGTAAAGAAATACCCAAGACTGGGTAATTTATAAAGGAAAGAGGTTTAATTGACTCACAGCTCTGCATGGCCAGGGAGGCCTCAGGAAACTTACAGTCATGGAAGAAGGGAAATGGCAGAAAGGGACTGGCAGAAGGGGAAGCAGGCACCTTCTCCACAAAGCAGCAGGAGAGAATGTGAGTATGTGGAAGAGGAAATGTCAAACACTCATAAAACCATCAGATCTCATGAGAACTCACTATCAGGAGAACAGCATGAGGGAAACTGCCCCCATGATCCAGTCACCTCCAACCAGATCCCTCTCTAGACACATAGGGATTACAAGGATTACAATTCAATGGGAGATTTGGGTAGGGACACAGCCAAACCATATCATTCTGCCCCGGCCCCTCCCAAATCTCATTCTCAGTGCCTCACATTTCTTTCTTTTTTTTTTTTCTTTTCTTTTTTTTTTTTTTTTTTGAGACAGTCTTACCTCGTCACCCAGGCTGGAGTGCAGTGGCACAATCTCAGCTCACTGCAACCTCTGCCTCCCGGTTTCAAGTGATTCTCCTGCCTCAGCTTCTCAAGTAGTTGGGACTACAGGCACCTGCCACCACACCTGGCTCATTTTTGTATTTTTAGTAGATATGGGGTTTCGCCACATTGGCCAGGCTGGTCTCAAACTCCTGACCGCAAGTGATCCACCTGCCTCAGCCTCCCAAAGTGCTGGGATTACAGATGTGAGCCGCTGTGTCTGTCCTCAGGTTTCAAAACACAATCATTCCTTCCCAGCAGTCCCCCAAAGTCTTACTTCAGCAATAACCCAAAAGTCCAAGTCCAAAGTCTCATCCAAAACAAGGCAAGTCCCTTCCACCTAGGAGCCTGTAAAATTAAAAGCAAGTTAGCTGTTTCCAACATACAATGGGGGACACAATAATTGGATAAATGCTTCCATTTCAAACGGGAGAAATTGGCGAAAACAAAGGGGCTACAGGCTCCATGCAAGTCCAAAATTCAACAGGGTGGTCATTAAATCTTAAAGCTCAAAAATAATCTCCCTTGACTCCATGTCTCACATCCAGGGCACACTGATGCTAAGGGTGGGCTCTCATGACCTTGGGCAGATCCACCCCTGTGCTTTGCAGGATACAGTCCCCCGCTCTGGCTGCTTTCACAGCTGGCATTGAGTGTCTGTGGCTTTTCCAGTGTACTATGCAAGCTGTCAGTACATCTACCATTGTGGGGTCTGGAGGACAGTTGCCCTCTTCTCATAGCTCCACTAGGCAGTTTCCTAGTGGGGACTCTGTGTGGGGGCTCCAGCCCCTCATTTCCCCTGCACACTACCCTAGCAGAGGTCCTCCATGAGGGCTTCACCCCTGCAGCAAACTTGTCCCTGGGCATCCAGGCATTTCCATACTTCCTCTGAAATCTAGGCAGAGATTCCCAAACCTCAATTCTTGACTTCTGTGCACCTACAGGTCCAACACCACATGAAAGCCACCAAGGCTTGGGGCTTGCACCCTCTGAAGCAACAGCCTGAGCTGTACCTTGCCCCTTTTAGCCAAAACTGGAGCTGAAGTAGCTGGGACACAGGGCACCAAGTCCTGAGGCTGCACAGAGCAGGGAGACCCTGGGACTGGCCCATAAAACCATTTTTCCTTCCTAGGCCTTCAGGCCTGTGATGGGAGGGGCTGCTGCCAAGATCTCTGAAATACCCTGGAGACATTTTCCCCCTTGTCTTGGCAATTCACATTTGGCTCCTAATTACTTATGCAAATTTCTTCAACTGGCTTTAATTTCTCCCCAGAAAATGGGGTTTTATTTTCTAGCACATCGTAGGCTACAAATTTTTCAAACTTTTAGGCTCTGTTTTCCTTTTAAACATAAGTTCCAATTTCATAACAACTATCTCAAGTTCAAAGTTCTACAGATCTCTAGGGCAGGAAAAACAAACCACCAGTCCCTTTGCTAAAGCATAGCAAGAGTGACCTTTGCTCCAATTCCCAGTGAGTTCCTCATTCTCCATCTGAGACTACCTCAGCCTGGACTTCGTGGTCCATATCATTATCAGCATTTTGGCCAAAACCATTCAACAAATCTCTAGAAAGTTCCAAACTTTCCCACATCTTTCTGTCTTCCCACTGAGCCCTCCTAACTGTTCCAGCCTCTGCCTATTACCCAGTTCCAAAGTTGCTTCCACATTTTTAGCTATCTTGAGAGCAGTGCCTGCCCCACTCTCCACAGGACCAATTTCCTGTATTAGACCATTCTCACACTGATATGAAGAAGTACCTGAGGCTGGGTAATTTATACAGGAAAGAGGTTTAATTGACTTACAGCTCCATGTGGCTGTGTAGGCCTCAGGGAAGTTACAACCGTGGCAAAAGGGGAAACAGGCACCTTCTTCACAAGGCAACAGGAGAGTATGAGTGCATGAAGGAGAAAATGCTGAACACTTATAAAACAATCAGATCTCATGAGAACCTACTCATTTTTTTCTGTTGCATTTTAGGTTTTGGGGTACATGTGAAGAACATGCAGGATTGTTGCATAGGTACACACATGGCAGTGTGGTTTGCTGCCTTCCTTCCCCTCACCTGTATCTGTCATTTCTCCCCATGCTATCTCTTCCCACCTCCCCACCCCCCGTCCCTCCCCCATTTCCCCCCAACGGACCCCAGTGTGTAGTGCTCCCCTCCATGTGTCCATGTGGAGAACCCACTCATTATTATGAGAACAGCATGGGAGAACCACTCCCATGATCAAATCACCTCCCACTGGGTCCCTCCCTCAACACATGGGAATGATGAGGATTACAATTCAAGATGAGATTTGGGTGAGGGCACAGCCAAACCATTATCAGATGAGAACACTGTTTCCCCAGTGACTGGCAGCATCTGACCGTGGAAAGAACTACGGGCACTTCAATATGGTTATGGACATCTTGTCATCCTTGCATAATCTCTTCAAAGCACCGCATTTCCGTCCACATGCAGTACAAGATGTGCTTGATGAATGGGAGTGATTCTGGAGCAGCATTTCCTGCACAGTCCTAGTGGCTACAGATCTGTCAATGGCAGAGTTTTTTTTTTTTCTTTTTTTCTTTTCAATTTTTTTATTTCATTTTAGTTTTTGGGGTACATGTGAAGAACATGCAAGATTGTTGCATAGGTACACACATGGCAGAGTTTTTAACCTGGGTAGTGAGGGCCTCCTTGTGTTGGGAGGAGTCATCAGAGGGAAGGCAAGTCAGAAAGTTATCCAGTTTAACCTTCAACATAAAAT